CGTTCTGCTTCACCTCGTCGGATGGCAGCAGGCTTGACGACAATGGATGGACACATCGATTTCGACCCTTACGAGCACGCAATCACCGACTCGTGCATCACGTCCATGAGTGGTCGACTAAGAGGCGCATTCTCCTGGTGGTGCTCATGGTGCACGAGCAGCTTCATCCTCTCTATCATCGCGAAAGGCTATTGGCTTCCTTGGAAGGTTTCCCCTCCCAAATCATTCTCCGCACCCAACCACGCTGGCGCGTATGCTCACGCGAACTTCACACGCGAAGCAATAACCGACCTCTTGGCATCCGGGGCGGCAGTGGAAGCCCGTAGTATTGATGAGCTCACCTGCATCAGCCCTCTCAACGTCGTGGAACAGCGTGAAAAATGTCGGCTGATATTGGATCTGCGCCGCGTCAACCAACACCTCGTGGTCCCGAAATTCAAGTACGAGGGGCTTCATCGTGTGGCAGAACTGGCACAACGCGGCGACTGGATGTTCTCAGTGGACTTGAAATCAGGGTACCACCACGTGGACATCCACCCGACGTGCTGGAAGTTCCTCGGCTTCCAATTCGAAGGTCGATTATTTCACTTTCGATCCTTGCCCTTCGGTCTCGCGACGGCCCCGTTCGTATTCACTCAACTGATAAAGCAATTGGTCATGCGATGGCATACCCACGGTATTAGGGTCGTCCCTTACGTCGACGACGTCCTATTCCTCGGCAAGGACTACGACACCGCGCGGCGCATCTGTTCGACGGTCATTGACGATTTGCGGCAGGCTGGGTTTGTGGTCAACAAGAAGAAATCTCACCTCATTCCGACCCAACGCCTGCGGTTCCTGGGCTTGGAACTGGATACATCCACGTGCACCTTCACTGTGGGAGAGGAGCGACGCACACAATTGAACGCGACACTAGCCGCCCTCGAAGCTGCAGGACGCGCCCATCGACCAGTGCCTGTTCGCCAAGTGGCACGCGTGACCGGCATGCTCGCATCGATGTCTCTAGCTCTGGGAGCCACGGCACGAAAATTTAGTCATAGCCTACTTCAGACAATACACGAGGCAAATTCATGGCACCAACGAGTGGTGCTCACGCAGGAGGCAATGCAGGAATTGCAATTCTGGAGCTCCGAGTTCGACCACTTTAATGGGGCGCCGTTCCACATTTGGCACAGCTTTGGTGCGGTGATGCACGTGGATGCGAGTGCACATGGCTGGGGGGCAACGCTGGACAGCTTCCCAGGATCGACAATAGAAGCTTCGGCACAAATGCCGGTGACGTTGCGCTCGGCATCGAGCACCCGTCGGGAGATCGAGGGCGTTCTCTGGGCTCTGACGGTGTTTGAAGCCCACCTCCACGGAAAACACCTACTCGTCCGGGTGGACAACCAAGGGGTGTTCTTCATCTTACGCAAAGGCGGGTCCCGCTGCTTGGAGCTCACCCGCGTCTGCCAAGCATTGATCCATTTTTGCGTGCTGCATGAAACTCGTCTTGCCATAGAATGGATTCCGAGGTCTCTCAACGTGCATGCCGACGTACTCTCCAAGCTCCAGGACCACGATGATTACACTTTGAAGCAACCATGGTTTCGACTACTTGACAGACGCTTGGGTCCCCACAAGATCGACCTCTTTGCAAACGCCACCACCGCAAAGCTCTCTTGTTTCTGCACGAATTTGCCTCACCCTGCAGCGCACGCAGTCAACGCCTTCTCCATCTCATGGACTGGGGAACACGGCTTCGCTTTCCCACCTCCCCAGTTGGTTCCTGCCGTGCTACATCATGCAAAACAGATGCATGCTCGGATCACTCTCATTATTCCTGAATGGCCGAGTGCGTTTTGGTGGCCCCAGGTCCACCCCACGCCAGACGGATGGGCACCGGAAGTACAGACCCACATCCAGCTCCCTAGCGGCAGCCAATGCCTTGGCACAGGCACCCACACAACAGCATTCTCTAGCAATGGCCTTCCCAACAGCATCATGCATGCACTCTTGTTGTCATTTGAATAAATCTTGAGCACGCTGTTGTTCTAATGGCAAAGGCACCATGACCAGGCTTCATCACCGACTTCTGCTCATAACATCCCAAGTCAGGGCGGATTCGACCATTCGCACGTACGACCCCTACTGGCTCAAATTCCGCTCCTTCTGTGACCGATTCAAACTGACATTTCTACCTACCACTGACACCACGTTGGCGCTCTACTTGGTGCACGCGATCGAGCAAAAGGCCACGCTCTCCGTGGTACAGCTCACGTGCTCGGCAGTAACGTTCGCCCACCGCATGATTGGAGCTCATTGTCCTGTCTCCGGCCCGTTTACCAGTCAAATTCGCGAGTACGCCAAACGCCACTGCCCGCGCCCGTCCCGTATCAAGGAGCCCGTGTCTCTCCACCAAGTTCACAACATGGCGCAGCATTACCTGTCCGCCACCGACCCCGCGGAATTTCAGAAGGGACTCATCCCTCTGCTGATGTACGCTGCATTTCTCAGATATTCCGACCTCGTGGCGATTCGCTGGGAAGACATACAATTCGAGGAGGACGTCATGTGGATCCTCATCCCACACTCAAAGACTGACCAAGAAGGTCGTGGAATGTGGGTCCCTGTGGCGGCCACTTTAGGCCCCTTCTGCCCCACACGCTGCACCCAGCGCTTCATTCAACTCGCGCACTTTGGACCTCTCACCCATGGACCGTTGATCCGTGTATTTAGTCGTCGCGCTTCGGCATCGCTCGCCGTCACCTCCCCCTCATACACGACCATTCGCAACTGGTGCAAGGAGGCATTCGCTCGAATCGGCCTCTGTGACACCCATCTTGGAACCCATTCATTTCGCAAAGGTGCAGCCACAATGGCCGCTATCGCAGGAGTTCCGGACCGTGTCTTCCAAAGGCTCGGTCGGTGGCGCAGCAGTACGGCCCGGGACCTGTACGTGACAATAGCAACCAATGACTTGGTGTCCGCCTCTCGCCGGCTTCACGAGGGCGACGCTGCACCAGCACTATCGCAGCACGAACACGCCATCATTCGTCAAAGACGACCCTCACTTCACATGTTTGAGAGGGCCCACAAGCAATGAAGACGATGCTTATTGCTAGTCAAGTAGCAAGCTTTCTCAATATGTATATTTGCGAAAGTGTTACACTTTCTAAAATGACTTATTGTGAAAGCGCAGCAGCTTGTACGCAGCACAAAAAGCCATCGTCGAAGCGCTACTCGCCCTTCTCCGACTACAAAAGAAGGGGTTTCGGCCATTTGGCCTCACCCACGTTTTCATTTTTCGAAATTTCAAGTTCAGTTTCCCACCCACCCCCCTTCATGCTAGATTCATATGTATTGTAATAATCTATATGACGGGCAATGCTGTACTTTGACCACAAGCAATGAAGACGACGCTTATTGCTAGTCAAGTAGCAAGCTTTCTCAATCAATTGTTCTTAATACTGCCGCGCTACTAACCACTCCAAATTTGATCTCCATTTCTTGGGAGTTTGACCCTTCTACCGCGTAAATTTGGAGGTTAGACCCGAACAGCGCGTTTTCTTGGAAGTTTTGACCTGTTGCTCGTTTTCTGGAAGTTTGACCCTTGAGCGCGTTTTCATTTCTGTCCCATATGACACTACCCTCTGTGAACCTCGACCGATTGTACGCGCTAAACCAATAACTCTTCCTTCACGGTCTTCTTCGCAAACTTTGTTTTGTGCGCCATTCTTACATGTAGCCTCGTTTTTTTGTCGCCATTCACTCTTCTCACACCACACCCAAACCAACCGCTCAACAAGAACCATCGATGCGAAACCCTTGCGATGAAACAGCGTCCTCTTCCGCACTGTTGTTGTCTTCGGTTTTAAGCACATTTCGGTTGTAGCACACGGTTAGGGATGGTTCAGTCCGGTTCGGCTGCTTAGGTTGAATGAAGCAAACAATATTAGCCTGAAACTAAGTTTTGCAGGTTTCTAGATGCGCGTTGTAGAACTTGTTAGGGGCAGCTCTCTGTTGGAGGTACGCCGTCGTCTTATTAGGCGCCGCGTGGGTGGCAAGCTAGCCACAGGTTCGGTTCTGTGGGAATCCACTGGCAATGGTCCAGTGAAGGATAAACCTGAGGTTGCGCTGTTACACATTAGACTGTGGATACTAAACGGCTTATCTTCAGGCCACCGAACTTGCTTACGTGTCACTCGCCGAATGGATATGAAGCGGCCCAATCGGCCCGTGCCACTGATATGCAACGAGTGGAGGGAAGGCTTCCACGCTCTCTCTGCGCCTGCAGGTTCCCCCACTCAGTGGTTACGACTCGGAACTAAGGCGATCATGTGCCAGTACATTATGAATTGTCGACACTCATGGATCTCATAAGTTGTCTCTTGGGAAGCCACCAGGGCGAATGTGCCAGTGACTTTTCAGTAATACTAGTTCTGCCAGAACCCTAGCCGCTAGGGTTAACCAAGCCAAGGTTTTGAGATCACCATGGGGCGGCTAGCATTCTCACCTCTCCTTTGCCGCCTGCTGCTCTGTAAGCCTTTTGAAAATCTCTGCTGAGTGCCACTGGCTTTTTGTATTGATCAAAGATACACGTATCGCATCCTGTCACTGCCTGTCACTGCTTTTAGTTTCGGTTGAATAATCCGTCAGGTCGTTCGAAGATCGTGCTCCACAGGGTCACATCTCAAATCTACTACCTTCCTGCCTGAGTTAGGGTACTGAGTACTACCTCCTGCCTGCCTGCCTGTCTGCCTGCAGGTGCGGCGGTCTGCACTGCCTACGGCGCGTCGGCCACGCCATTGCTCCCGCCGCTCCTCTCTCACCTCGGCGGCCCTTCTGCCGATTCTACGGCTTCTGCCGCTTCTTCTACTCCCGTCACTCCGGCCAAAGTCTGGAAGGGAAAAGTAATGTGTAAGTATCTTAGCCGTCAGAACTAACGAGCCTTAACAGTCGGACCAACTGAGACGTAATAGACTGAACTGATTGCAAGTAGGAGTGCGCCGCGTCTTCTGATGAACGTTCATAGTAGTGATGATCTGAACGTCCCCTTCTGATGAACCTTCTGATGAATCTTCTGGTGAACCTTCTGATAAACCTTCTGTTGAACCTTCTGATGAACTGTGTAGCTTGTCGCTGAATGATGTTGGCTGCAAGTGAAGTGCTTGCTGCATGAATTGCTTGCTACACCTGAAGCCGTTTGCTGCCACTGATGCTTGTGCTGTATCATTCCCTTCCCCTCCTTCTCTCCCTGTGCATTCCTGTTTATGAGAATGATGAGAATGATGAGGATGATGAAGTCACTCTAGTATCTGCAGTTACCATGTAACGCCTGACGAGGTGTTATACACCAACTCTTTCGCTGAAAATGATCAACTTTTGAGCTTTCCCAATCCCCCCCGTTCCCGTTCCCAGACGAATACTCGGTGAAACTTCGCCCTGCCAAGGCCAACGGGAAAGTTATCGGTGACAAAGGAGCTCGGGGGAAAATGCTATACAGGGTCATGAGGTATGTTTCTGATCCCTCGTTCACTTGGTCGTTTTTTGAGGCGCCTCAAAAGGAGCTCGGGGGAAAATGCTATACAGGGTCATGAGGTATGTTTCTGATCCCTCGTTCACTTGGTCGTTTTTTGAGGCGCCTCAAAAGGAGCTCGGGGGAAAATGCTATACAGGGTCATGAGGTACGCCCCTGTTCCTCTGTTCACTTGCTCGTTCCAGTGGCAGCGATGACAGGTGTTGCTTGTTCAGTTGTGTCTCAGTGACTCCTGCGAGAGTTGCGACTTCTGCAAGTGTTGCGAGTAACAAACTGTCCCTCTGAGGCGACGCTCGTTTCACTGGCTGTGCTGCCACGAGCGCTGCGGAATCACAATGACTTTTGAAATTCCTGCGAGTTGGGCTTTATTACATTTTTTTTCTTCTGAGTGTTTCTCCACGTCCGCATGAACAACTGATGTGTAGTTCCTTTGAGTTGGCAAGTGTTTCCAGTGCCAGTACAGTACTCTCTGAAGGAGCACCTATGCAGTGCACTGGCATTATACTCTCTAATGAGTGTCTCCGCTTTCCCCTGTTGGCAGGTACTCTCCATCGTCGTACACCACGAAGATCAAGGTACTGCTTTTCAACCTCAAGGGAGGCGATTCACCCGTGTACGGTTTTGCAGGCACCTGCTCAGGAGTTCCCGCGACAACGCTGGCCTTTCTGAACATCACACGCCCCAAGGCCAAGCGCTTCAGCTGGAAATTCGAGTCTGAACAGAGCGTGGCCAGTCAAAGTGCCGGCAAAGCGGCTCTGGATGCAGTTGTGACGGATGCGTACGGTACTGTAGGGCGTGCGGGGAACAAGTTGGCGTTGTGCGGCCCGGTGTTTTACTGGTACCCGAAGATGTAGACGCGTTTGGGTGGAAGAGTGCAGTACTAGGGTGTTTGAGACGTCTCAAAAGTTGTCGAAATACTGGTGGAGGAAGGAGAAGCTTTTGGTTGGAAGTGCATGGCTAGGGTTTCATTAGGGTTTCATGCAATCGTGCAATTGTTGGAGAGTGGAGATGCTAGTGAATGTGGGCTTGCTTTGACTCCTTGCCAATGTTGAATTGATAAACATTTGCATTCTTTTGGGGTTGACTAACATATTGGTGGCTGGCTATGTTTAGGCTTTTGCAGTGAGCAAGAACTCCCCTCCCTGGGTCTTCAAATAATCCTTGTTAAGGAAACTTGCTCAGATGCTGAGGCCCAGTGTCACACAGTTACAACTTACAGGGCACCAGTCACAACTACCTTACATGTCATGATCACCATCACACCATTCACTTGCAGATTCAGACCTAACAACTCAAGCCTTCTGGCATCAGGCAAAAGGTGGGCCGGGACCACACAATTCACAATGATCAATGATCCGATGAAGAGATGGTGGAGGCAATGCAGGAAGGTGGGGCAAACAAGGAGGTGGGCGACACGAGGGTGTGTGTTTGGGTAGGGAAGTCGGAAGAGGGGGCTGGGGAATGGGTATAGGGGGATGGGGAGAGGATACAGGGGGATGGGGAGCGGGTACAGGGGGATGGGGAGCGGGGAGTGGGGAGGAGTGGGGCCCGGGGAGGGAGGGATCGGGAGTGGAGGGGGGGGAAGGAGTGGGGGTTGGGGAGTGGGGGATATGCTCCGGGACCAGGATAATCCACCACCTCTCTCTCCACCGGAATCGCGGAGGGATACGCACTGCAGCTGAGCAACTCTGCCACTCCCACCCACGGCGCCAAGAAGGCAGTTCATGGCTGTGTCAAATTATATATAAACTATAGTTGTGTAGGCTGTAGTGGGATAGCCAATATGGGGTACAACCCCTTTAGGGTTTCATACTTGTACCCAACTTTCATCTAGTTCATTCATTCCTGCTTGCTATCTTGACATGGTTTCAGAGCACTAGGTCCATAGGACCGTTTTTTTTCCGGGCCCACCATACTTAGCGACCGACTGCGCTTACCGTGTTACCCCACTACCCTGCGTCGCGCTGTTTCACGCACGCCCTGCCCTGCCCTGCGCCAGCGCCCTGCCCTGCGCCAGCGCCCTGCCCTGCGCCAGCGCCCTGCCCTGCGCCAGCGCCCTGCCCTGCGCCAGCGCCCTGCCCTGCGCCAGCGCCCTGCCCTGCGCCAGCGCCCTGCCCTGCGCCAGCGCCCTGCCCTGCGCCAGCGCCCTGCCCTGCGCCAGCGCCCTGCCCTACGCCCGCGCTGCTGCCCTGCGCGTCGCACCCTACGGCAGCCAGCGTGTCGCGCGCTGCTGCCCCGAGCGTCGCGCCTTACGGCAGCCCACGCGTCGCGCACAGCTGCCCTGCGTGTCGCGCCCTGCTGCAGCTCGTGCGTCGCGCCCTGCTGCCCTGCACAGCGCGCGCCCTGCTGCCCTGCACAGCCCAGGCCGAGCCGAGCCGCCCTACCCGACCCGATCCGCCCTCCTGCTCGTGCTACTGTTGCTACTTGTGGAGGTGCTACTAGGAGTGCTGGAGGTGCTGCAGCCTAGCCTCACCGGGCGTCTCTGCTCCTCTTACTGCAGCTGCTACTGCTCGTGCTGCTGTCTTCCCTCCGTACCGCCCTCCTAGTCGCGCGCCTCGTTGCTTACCCGCTATGACTTCACTTCGTAGTAGCGGTGGGAGTGGTGACGGCGGTAGTGGCCACAGTGGGAGTGGTGGCGGCCGTAGTAGCAGTCGCTGTGGAGCTGTTCAGTGGGGAGGTTCTGGCGGTGGCCAGATGCAGCTACAGCGGCGTCCGACCCTTACGTCCCGGCAGCTTCGTGAGTGGCTTTGCCAGCGTGGGACGTCTCCGAGTCCTGGTCGCTGCTCGTACGTCATTCGCACAGGTCGTCGAGCTGGTCAGGCTTGTGGGACACCTGGTCACGCGCAGTCCCGCTGCTTCGCCTATTTGTCTGACGCCTGGCACGCACAGTTTGGCGACGAGGCTGAGACACCCCACTGGCTTGAGCTGCTTAGGTCGGGCGTTGATGTCTTTGCTTTAGACTATGACGCCATCCTTACTGCCATGTCTCCTTTGCCTGGTGGTGCTCAGAGTGACTGTTACCTGTGTGTGCAGTACGACCCCGGTATAGAGGTTGCTGCTCTAGGTGCTAGTGAGGCTGCTGCCTTAGGTGCTAGTGAGTCTGCTCCCTCAGGTACTGCGCCTGTTGAGGTTTTGCACACCTTCACGCTTGACTCAGGTGCTTCCCGCTGTTTCTTTCGTGACAGTACTGCACTCACACCACTCCCTGCACCTGTTGCAGTGTCTCTGGCTGACCCCTCAGGGGCCAGACCTTGCACGGTCCACCACTGTGCTTCCGTGCCCGGCGGTTCCGTCTGGCTCACTGTCAGGTCTCCACATCCCCTCGTTCTCTACGAACTTGGTGAGCAACGCTGCCCTTCAGGATGTGGGGGTTAATACCTTCACCCCTGCATGGCAGCGTGTGGCGATCTGCACGTGTGCACAGACTGGCCGTCACCTGGCCACGTTCACCCGTCGGCCAGGGTCGAGTCTCTACACACTGACGACTGTGTCTCCTCAGGTCGCTGCTGTCGGTCAGGTGTCTGCGTCAGGTCTGGTAGCCTCCCCTTGTGAGTGTCGCTCCCTGTCGCACCAGACTCTTCTCTGGCACCACCGTCTGGGTCACCCCTCCTTGCCACGTCTACGTGGCATGCACCGTCGCCTCCTTGTGTCTGGTCTTCCCAGGTCTCTCCCTCCCCTCCCTGCCTCGCCTGCGCCGCCCTGCCTTCCTTGCGTCGAGGGGCAGCAGCGCGCCGCTCCTCACTCCTCCTCGTTTCCCCCGACAGAGGCTCCCCTGCAGACCCTCCACCTGGACGTGTGGGTCCCAGCACGCGTTCGTGGACAGGGCGGTGAGCGGTACTTTCTGCTGGTTGTCGACGACTACTCGCGTTACACCACGGTCTTCCCCTTGCGCACCAAGGGTGAGGTCCCTGCTGTCTTGATCCCTTGGATCCGCGTAGTTCGTCTCCAGCTCCGCCGGAGGTTCCGGACTTACCTTCCTGTCCTGCGTCTGCACTCTGACAGAGGTGGTGAGTTCACCTCTGACCACTTGCGGACCTTCTGTCAGAAGGAGGGCATCGAGCAGTCGTTCACGCTTCCGGGCTCACCGCAGCAAAATGGGATTGCTGAGCGCCGCATTGGCTTGGTCATGGAGATCGCTCGTACCTCCTTGATCCATGCGACGGCTCCCCATTTTCTGTGGCCATTTGCGGTCCGGTACGCAGCGCATCAGCTCAACCTCTGGCCCCGTGTCTCCTTACCAGACACCTCGCCCACACTTCGTTGGACGGGAGAGGTTGGCGATGCGTCGCGTTTCCGAGTCTGGGGTGCTCGTGCCCTTGTCCGCGATACGTCCGCGGACAAGCTCTCCTCCCGCACCATTCCCTGTGTCTTCCTTGGCTTTGTCCCTGACGCGTCTGGCTGGCAGTTTTACCACCCCACCTCGTGCCGCGCCTTCCCCTCTCATGACGTCACCTTTGACGAGTCGGCTCCTTTCTACCGTCTCTTCCCCTACCGCACTGCCCCTCTCCCTCCCCCGCCGCTTTTCCTCGCTCCAGGTCCCCCTCCGGTAGACCCCCTCCCCCCTCAGGGTCCCGCTCCTTCGGGTGTTCTCAGGTAGACCCACTCCCCTTGGCTGAGCCTTTGGAGGTCACTTCCGACACCTCTGGCCCAGCTGAGGGGGGTGACGTTGCTGCTGACGCCCCGGCGGCCTACCGCCGCACACCACGCTTGGAGACCCCTCCGGGTTTCCCGCCGCGACCTTCTTCGCCGCCTCTGCAGCCGACTACTGTTGACTCTGGTGCCGCTGGGGGTGGTGCTACTCGGGGTGCTGCGTCTGGGGGTGCTGAGCCTGTGCGTGAGGTGCTGGGAGGTGTGGAGCCTGGGGGTGCTGAGCCTACGAGTGCGGAGCCTGAGGGTGCTGAGCTGGAGGGTGCCGGGTCGGGGGGTGCTGAGTCAGCTGGAGTTCCTACGGGTCGTGCTGCTGGGGCTGGAGGTCCTGCTGCTGGGGGTGCTGCTGCCGGAGGTACTGGGGCTGGAGGCCCTGGAGCTAGTGCTGTCGACCCTGGAGTTGGAGGCCCCGCGGTGCCCCCCCGCCGCTCACCACACTTGGCGACCCCTCCGGGTTTTTCACCTCGACCGTCTTCGTCGCCTCTGCGTCCGGTTTCGGTTGCCTCTGGTGCTGCTAGGGGCGGTGTTGCTCGGGGTCCTGCGTCTGGGGGTGCGGAGCCTGGGGGTGCTGAGCCAGAGGGTACCGGGTCCGGGGGTGCTGAGTCTGCTGGTGTTCCTCTGGGTCTCCCTCTTTCTGCTGCTGGAGCTGCTGGAGCTAGTGGTCGTGGAGACGCTGGGAGCACTGGTGTTTCTGGTTCTGGACGTGCTCGTACCGGGGGTACTGGAGCTGCCAGGATTGGCGGAACTGCTGGAGCTGGATGTGCTAATTCTGGAGGTGCTGAGTTTTCCTGGCGGTCCTCCTGGTGCTGCGTCGCAGCGGCCGCCTCTCTCGCGACAGCAGCTACGCGAGTGGTGCGCTCAGCGCTACCGCCGTCGAGGTGCTGCGACTGGGGGTACTGGGGCTGGACGCCCTGGAGCTGGTGCTGTCGCCTCTGGAGTTGGAGACCCTGGAGCTGGAGGTGCCGGTTCTGGAGGTGCTGCTGCTGGAGGTACTGAGGCTGGAGACCCTGGAGCTGGAGGTGCCGGTTCTGGGGGTGCTGCGACTGGAGGTACTGAGGCGGGAGACCCTGGAGCTGGAGGTTCTGGCGCAGCTGGAGACGCTGGAGCTGGAGGTTCTGCAGCTGCTGGAGGCGCTGGAGCTGGCAGTTCTGGAGCTGCTCGAGGCGCTGGGGCTGGAGGTTCTGGAGCTGCTGGAGGCACTGGAGCT